CATCGCCCAACTGGGCATGTAACAGAGAGAGAGAGAGAGAGAGAGAGAGAGAGAGAGAGAGAGAGAGAGAGAGAGAGAGAGAGAGAGAGAGAGAGCACTTCACCATGCCCGTAAACTTGTCCGTGCTTCCGAGGCAGCAAAATTTTGCTTTCCGCACAAAGCTACCCATTTCCTTTCTGGGCAGCGTGGACCAGAGTCTGGGCTGCTCCCAAACGGGCTTTCCTTTCTGGGCTCGTCCACCAAGCGCAGTGTAGAGTGTTCATGCCACGGAGTGCCTTTCAAATTTTTACCTTTGCCGGCTGAGGTGCGAATTTGGCTGGATCACAAAGCATACTCTATGCTGGACTTCAAAACACACTCTATGTTGGGACATTTTTCATTGGTATAAACTGGTATGAGGCCAGGTTTCGTTGTTTTTGCATGATAAGTTTTACTTTTTCCTTTTCATCGCGTCCTCTCGTGTTTCAATCCGATTTTTTGGGGGTACTGACCGTACTGTCGATCTTTTCCGAAAAACACGGTGCTTATCAGATGGCGGATGTCAAGGGAAGGCAGAATCCAGTAGGGTAGAGTCGCGACGTAGCGTTACACCCGACCGGCGAACTCTTGTGGACTAATGTAGTAGATTTCTCCAGACAAACCATCAAGATGCTGGTATCCTAGCTCAGGTTACTGAACCATGGTATCCCAATCAGAAGTCCTGGGTGGTTGTTGAGAAGTGCAGGTTGTAACCATGATCTGAACAGTCCACAGTTACACTTGAAGGAAATGAGATGTGTATGTCATGGATCAGTAACAGCGACTGACTAACGTGGATACATAGACTTGCCCCTCCCACCGTGTGTGGAAAAGTAACGATGAAACCCTCCAGTCATTACAGGGTCTATGAAGGCGCGATCAGAAGGCAGGCGGAAGGCATTACAGGGTTTATGAAGGCGATCATCTATGAAGGCGCCATCAGAAGGCAGGCGGAAGGCATTACAGGGTTTATGTTGCATGCTGCGCCTGCACACGGGCCCCATTTGAGGGGCCCGACGGTTGCTGAGGGCCCCCCAGGCCGCGTACCATACAGCACCCGTCCTGGAGGCCCACGGCGGCCCTTCAGGCCCTAGGTAGCACACTAGTTAGAATAGGTTTAGTTTACTTACCTTTCTGTGTGTGTGTGCTGTCTTACCTTGTCTGTCAGGTGCTGTTTCAGACTTGCAGCCCCAAGGCCGGACCTTGGGACTGGGTACACCGGAGGCAGGCCGAAACGAGGCCAGGCGCATTGTTACATGCAGCGCGTGCACACACGGGCCATTTTGCAGGCCCGACGGCCATTTTGCAGGCCCGACGGTGTTCAGGCCAAAAGCCTGAACTTCAG